CCATCTAATTTGGCTTTTTATTATCCTGTTTTGACATCCCATAGACGGATAGACTTATCATTACTACCAGAAGCTAATGTATTTCCATCAGGAGAGAAACAGACTGATCTAACATAATCACTATGACCATCGATTTTGGCTTTTTATTATCCTGTTTTGATATCCCATAGACGGATAGACTTATCAGCACTACCAGATCCTAATGTATTTCCATCAGGAGAGAAACAGACTGAAAAGACAGTATAACGATGACCGTCTAGTTTGGCTTTTTATTATCCTGTCTTTACATCCCATAAAAGGGTAGACGAATCATCACCAGCAGATGCTAATATATTTCCATCAGGAGAGAAACAGACTGAGAAGTAAGCATAACAATGACCATCTAATTAAGCTTTTTTTAATCCTGATTTGACATCCCATAGATTGATAGACTTATGAACACCACTAGATGCTAATGTATTTCCATCAGGAGAGAAGCAGACTGACGAAATAGTACTAATATGACCATCTAATTTGGCCTGTTATTATCCTGTTTTGACATCCCATAGACGGATAGACTTATCAGTACTACCAGATGCTAATGTATTTCCATCAGGAGAGAAGCAGACTGACGTGATAGTACTAATATGACCATCTAATTTGGCTTTTTATTATCCTGTTTTGACATCCCATAGACGAAGAGAGTTATCATTACTACCAGATGCTAATGTTTTTCCATTAGGAGAGAAACAGACTGATTTGACATAATGATTATGACCATCCAATTTGACTTTTTATTATTCTGTTTTGACATCCCATAGACGGATAGACTTATCAGTACTACCAGATGCTAATGTATTTCCATCAGGAGAGAAACATAATGAGTTGACTATGCGAGTATGACCATCTAATTTGGCTTTTTATTATCCTGTTTTGACATCCCATAGACGAAGAGAGTTATCATTACTACCAGATGCTAATGTTTTTCCATCAGGAGAGAAACAGACTGACCTGGAATAGCTAGTATGACTATCTAATTTGGCTTTTTATTATTCTGTTTTTACATCCCATAGACGGATAGACATATCATCACTAACAGATGCTAATGTATTTCCATCAGGAGAGAAGCATAATGAGCTGACAATGCGAGTATGGCCATCCAATTTGGCTTTTTATTATCCTGTTTTGACATCCCATAGACGGATAGACTTATCATCGCTACCGGATGCTAATGTATTTCCATTAGGAGAGAAACAGACTGACATGATAGAACTAGTATGACTATCTAATTTGGCTTTTTATTATCCTGTTTTTACATCCCATAGACGGATAGACGTATCATTACTACCTGATGCTAATGTATTTCCATCAGGAGAGAAACAGACTGAGTTGACTGAATTATCATGACCTTTTAATTTACCTATTAATTTCTTAGTCTTCATGTCCCATAGACTGATAGACTTGTCATCATTACCAGATGCTAATATATTTCCAACAGAGAAACAAACTGAGTTGACACAATCTTCATGATCATTTAATTCAGCTTTTTATTATCCTGTCTTGACATCCCATAGACGTATAGACGAATCCCAACTACCTGAAGCTAATGTATTTCCATCAGGTGAGAAACTGACTGAATTCACACAACTATGATTATACAATTTATTTAATTCAAGGATTCTTAAATCCTTCCATTAACAATTAATTAATAATGCTCCATTCAAATTTATTCCACTTATGTTTACATTGTTCAATTAGGATTCACTAAAATCACACCTAACAAAATTAGCTCCTACTAAAGAAGTATTTTAAATCTTAATTTTTTCAAAATTTTGATTTCTAAGGTTAACCTTCATCTAAACTAATATATGTAATGAATTGGATCCACATTATATTAAAGTGTTATCTATAGATGTAAGTTGAACTAAAAATTACAAAAATTCAATGATCCTTATATTATCCTTGATGCTATTAATTAGACTTAATGTTGATTCTTCATTTTCTTCAGAGGAAAAGTCTTTGTAATTGAAGACATGAACTTTTAATTTTCTTAAAACATCTGTAATTTACTTCAAGTTATTTCTAACAACGGACAATTTTTATTCAATTTGTATTAAATTCTCTCGTTGTTGTAAAATTTATGATTCTAATTTACTTTGATTCCCAATGTCTGATAGAAATCCAATGCTGTCTTACACTTTTTCTTTTCTTAATATTTCTAATATGATCCCAAAGATTTCTATATCTACATCTTGTATTTAATCAAAGATGTCAGTTAGAGTTTTCTTCGCTTAAAAAGAGCCCTGCATTTTCATTTTATTTTAATATTGAATTTCTATTACTCTAACTTAAAGTTATATTCTGCAAAATTAATAAAAGCATCTTGTGCATTTCAGTAAAATAGAAGTAAGACTTTGTGCAGAATTCAAATTGATAATAATAGAGGTAAATTAAGCTATTGAGAAATCATTTCAAAATATGGATTACTTTCTTCTTAAATAATATGGAATAATTAATTTATACTTAATTTGAATCATTTATTTTTCTTGTTAATCTTTAATTTATAGAACAAATAAATGTAATTTTTCATCTAACTATTTAGAGAAAGGAATATGATTTAACACTCATTTGATTAATAGTTGCCATTAAAAAAATGTTATTCTTTTTGTTTAAGAGAGAATTGAAACTTTAAAATTAGATACAGGATAGTTAAATTACTCAATTTTGTATCATGAGTAAATCTTGGTGACCCTT